TGCAATGTATTTAGGTCATAGTCCATGGAGTGATTTATACATGAGTAAAAGTACTTTAAAATCAATCCTAAATGTAACTGGAAGCCAGTGTAAGGACCTGAGGACTGGTGTGATATGCTCAGATTTTCTGGTTCTAGTCAGAATTCTGGCAGCAGCGTTCTGGATGAGCTGCAGCTGTCTAATGGTCTTCTTGGGAAGGCCGGTGAGGAGACCATTACAATAGTCCACCCTGCTGGTGATAAAGGCATGAACAAGTTTCTCCAAGTCTTGACTGGAAACAAAACATCTAATTCTTGCAATGTTTTTGAGATGATAGTATGCTGATTTAGTTGATGAGACATATAGGTGAGCACCACTATAAAGTCATAATTATGAGTAAGAAACTCTGAACGTTATGCGCTGATTGGGAGTGTTCTTCTGATCTCCCCAAGTTGGGGGAGTGTCATTGAGAAAATGTGGGATGCATTGGATGCAGCGTCTGCATTTAGAGTAAATTTGTTTAAATGAATGAAATTATACATTTTTCATTTGCAATAAACCTATCCAAGTCACATGTACAAAATATGATATTATTGTACAATTACGATAGAATATATAATGATTCAGGTCTCCCTTTCATTATTTATCAAGTAATATTCCACATTTACAGCACATGCATCCCAAATTGGTAACTACTTCATACACCTATTTTGTAACCTTAATATGTGTAGCAGCCTTAAAGAAAGTACTGTTAACAAATAATTTAACATCTTAACTTTTGATTCGAGACACAAGCGTTTTCTTACAGCAGTCACAGTGCACATATGTAAGCACACAGAACACTGGTAAAGCACGTCAAGTTGGAATTTTGTATTCAGTTCCACTCTGAATACCAACAAGATACGGCAACTTTTGACACTAATCTCCCCTTTGTTCAGCTGTTCCATTTCTGTTCGTCAAATGTCTGTGAACCTTGTCCAGCCGTCACATTCCTGCACGCATGTTATCAACGTCCAACCCGACATGCATTCTCATGTTCATGCTTTTTTTTTTTTTACACACAGAATTATAGCTATGCGCATAATCTATGAGATTTATGAATCTGAGTTAAATTTGAACCATTTTATAACCCTTCATAATGGTTTTCCGGGTTCTGACGTCACTGCACCACTCTATAGAATCAAGCAACTTTATTCACAAAACAAATGTGTGTAAATTGTTTGTAAAACCAGTCCTATGTAAATCGCTGCACTGAAATGACAATTTACATAGGAATAGCTTTACAAATAATTTACACAATTCGCTCTGCTCTTTTCCTGAGGTTCAATGATTGTAAGTCAAGAGGACAAACATTCAAAATTTAGCGTTTTTATGAAAACACCTAATCATGAGGCAGAAGTGAACCCAATGCCAAACAATTTGTGTACCATCCAAACACAGTCACAAATTTGGACACAAATTCACTTGACTGAATTTATAATTCTTGTGGGGTTGATAACTCATTTGATATATTCCTTCACAAAAAGAGTAACTCAGGAGTGAGGCAGCATAAAACAGACGAGAAACTCTCAGAAGTTGAGAAACCTGTCTGTAACCAGTCTAGCTCAGCACAGCTTGTTAAAACTATTGTGGAATCCTGTGGTTGTGAATGACTGTTTGCATTACCCATAGTCTTCTTTTTGCTGGTTGTCATCTTAATTGTTTCTTTCTTTCTTCAGGGAGGTGGTGCCATTTTTATTGTATTCATCTGGTTTTTCCTGTTTTGTGGCTAGATACATGCACAAACAAAACTGAGAAAATCAAAGCCATAAATCTAAATAAGAAGTATCTAAATTTGAGGTAAATATCTAAAAAAAAAAAAAATCTTTCAGTATGATTTTGTTTGGCCGTAATAACAAACATTTCTCCCCCCATTCATTTCCAATGCGGTAATTTTTGACTCTGAAGAGTAGAAGTGACTCTTCTTTTCAGGACCATTTAACCTTTTCGAATCATGTCTATTAATTTTTTTTAACCATTCCGATGAAGTAATAAAATTCTAAAAAGCCAAAACATAAAACCTTTCAGTCAAAAATGACCAAACAGCATCAGAAGGTTAATACAGTCATGTGATTATGTCAGTACAAGCATGATAAATCTAATCGAACACAAACTGAGCATTTTAGCATTTCATAATTTTTCAATTCTCCAACATGTACACAAAGTAAAATTTGGACTATGTGAAAGTTTAACATATGTACTTTTTGTATGAACAAGGAGTCTGACAACAGCCAGTGCTTCACACAGAGATCTGATCTCACCATCATCCAGTTCCTCTGGAATGACATGAAGAAACAGAAAAAACTCAGACTAAATCCAGAAGAACCGTGGCAAAGTCTCCAAGACACTTCAAGAAACCTACCTGCAAAACTACAATACTGTGAAAAGTTTTAGGCACTTGTAAAGTACTTGCTGTAAAGTGAGGATTCTTTCAAAAATAATGTCATAAATAGATTTAATAGATCAAATAACTTTATTAACTAAATCAAATTAACATTTGATGTGAAAAACATCTTGGAGATGTTTTTTCTCAGTTTGTTCTGTTTCTTCATGTAATCCCAGACAGACTGGATGATGCTGAGATCAGATCTCTGTGTGGAGCACTGGCTGTTGTCAGACAAAAAAAATCTCACTGAATTACAATTAATGGCAAAGGGAATGTTTGGAAATGTAAACTGACATTTTCTACTGACACGCTACAGCAAAAGATAGAAATAACTGGCTTAAAACCATTTTTTTTTGTTGTTGGTGAAAATACTAATGGCCTAAGACTTTTGCACAATATTGTATATATACACTATATAGAATAAAACAAAATAAATAAAACTTGAAGATTTGTCTGAAGCAACATGTTTAAATTGTACTTGTGTTGTAAAATGGTATTGAGCTGTTAATTTTAAGTATACATACTCCAGTCTATTTAGTTTGGATTGCAGAACATGCATCTCTGCCTGCATTTCATTTTAATCCATTATGAATTCAAGTCAAAGTGTCTGGCATAACTAATTCATTTTCAAAATGTTCTCAAAATAACATTATTCTAAACATTATGCAGAATAATGCTTGTTTATAGGGAATGGGAATATATAGCTCTTATGTTTTGGACTGAATTACATAAAAAAAAACCCCTAAAACTAAGGAATTCCAACTGTCACATTATTTAACCAATAAATCAGTAGTTTTTGTGTTGAGGCATCTCAAAGAAAAACTCTCTTTTATCTGAGTAATGTCATTTGATATCATGCTAATCAGCATTACATTCAGGTACAAAAGTCATGAAAAAAAAGCAACTGCTGATTGTGAAACGGCAATGAAATGTTACATGGCAAAAATCATTTGATCATTTTATAATACACTAATACATTTTCACACAGTAAGTGTAGATAAAAAGAAAAAGAAAACCATGCAAACTTGATTGTGGCCATAAATACATAAAATACAGAAAAAGAATACTAATGTGCTTTTCTTTAGCCAAAACTGAAACAATTTCACTCTTATAGAAACTTGATTAAAGCAAAAATCCTAGTTTGATGTTATTGAAGTTACTTCAAAAAAAGAAACAAAAAAAAAAACACATACATGTAGTAAAAAAAAAAAAAAAAAAAAAAAAAAAAAAAAAAATGAATACTTTCCGTACCCACTGTGTATATATATATATATATATATATATAGATAACGGATGGATCACCCATACAGTATAGACTACAATTTGATTTATTCAACCTTATTATTAACCATAATAATAAGCCAATAAAAATGACCAGTGACTTAAAACAAACTGTATTTATACAAGATCATCTTTCCCATAATACCGTTCTTTCATCTAGCACCTTTGGATATAAAGTAAACTTACATTTGGATGAATATCAATGTCATCAAGCAGTAGTAACAGTAGTACAACCGATTCTCTCTGCAAAAGATTCAGACTTCAGTTATTAAAGCAGTGAAGACGGAAGTGCTTATGAAATTCAAGTACACTCTCAGACCGACAAAATCCAGAGGAGAGGTAGAGCGCAACCACTCCGACTCAATATGTGTCTTTGCGTGCCCGAGCAAATGAACAAGAGGAACTTGCAAATAAAAAGTGATTTGAATAAAAGCATCCACTGTTGGGAAATCAAACCTCTGAGCTGTTGTTGCTATCAAGGCCTTGCGTCATCATGGGCGCTGTGCTGCTAGAGCCTTTCGGGGGCTCAGCGATGTTCTTGTCCCGTCTAGATCGTACCACCAGAATGACAAGAATGACGAGGAGGATGGTGAAGAGAAGACCTACCAAGATTCCTATGATCAAGACAACACGATCATCATTAGAGTCCCTTTGATTCAGTTCTCTAGGAACGATACCCTCTGCTTGGGATTCCTCGTGAAGGTTGGGATGTTTCTGAGCGCTGCGGTCCAGCGCTATGTGTAAGATATTTGTGCCGCGGTTATTTTCTATGCCAATATCCTGAGCCAAATCTGGAACGTGGTTAGCTGACCTTTTGGAAATCGAGTGACCGTGTGTCACAGAATGATATTCAAGGCTCCTTTTCCCGATGCCTCGGTTAGCGTTGTCTCTGGACCGGACGGTGTAGATGGTGTGAATGTACAACTCCCTGCCTGCCGACACCTGGACAGTGTTATAGTGTTAGTATCAGAACATTATTGCAATGTTTCTTAATGTGGCAGCAGTTATGTCCCTCTTACCTGAAACAAAGCTGTGGAATCCAGCCTAAAGCCGTCAGAGCCCGGCTGCCTCACCAGCGGCAGCGCCTGAGGATCATCTACAGCGAGGAAAGCATTGAAACTAATGCTGCCAAATGTTCTCGCCTGAGTTTCTGGCTGAGCTTTGTCCTGTAAAGCAGAGTTCAAAATTACACATTATACTGTCTAATGATCCTGAGTGCAGCGCAAAGGCAAAAAAGAAACAACTGGATCTACTTGACATGAGGAAGGTTTTAACATGGTAAATGACAAAAACACAAGAAAATTACTACAATGTAAAACAGAAAATATAAAAATTAAAATGAATTTTTAATAAACACTATAATAGTACACTAATGATAATCAGCTGGATCTAGATGCCAGCTAGTCATTATGTTTTTTTTTGAGTCTAAGAAAACTTACTTAAAAATTAATTTATATTAATAAAATTAAAATGAAAATTTTTAATAAACACTATAATAGTACACTAATGATAATCAGCTGGATCTAGATGTCAGCTAGTCATTATGTTTTTTTTTGAGTCTAAGAAAACTTACTTAAAAATTAATTTATATTAATAAACATTTTGACAACTGGTTTAGACCAGGGTTATTATAGTTCCCCTTCTTTGGGAACTGCCGCCAGCAAGACCGGTGTCTGAAGCATGTGTGAAACAACTCCAATCCCATTGGCTCACGTAGCCCGTGACGTCACAGGAAGTATAAGAGGGCACCTGCCGAACACATCACCAACTTCTGTTGTCTTCAGGAGCCATTTGTTTGACAGTGCATGTAAAGGCGCTATGAAGAAACCAAGGCAAGTGAGCATTTTAGAAAGTGTGTGCCTCCGTGTCCGAGGTTTCTGACACCCGAGGACACACTCGATCTATGCGTTATGTGTCTTGGTGAGGAGCATACGTGTTCAGTGTTTGAGGGCTCTGAATGCACTCGTTGTGAAAATATCCAATGAGAAAGCTCCATCCGCGTTTGTCCCTCTTCTCGGGGGATGAGGAACAAGTGTCTGCGTCTCGCGGTTCGGGCCCCGCTGCTGGCAAGTAGACCACTGACCACTAGCTAACGCTCCCTTGTGATGTAGGCTTTTTTCCAAGTACTCTGCATTGGACTGCCCCCCTTATCGGGGTTTTTCAAGTAGGCAGTCCCCTGAGCCTCGTCTAGTTGTCTCCCCTTGGGGTTTTTAATAAATGGTCTTCTTCCTTTATCCCTTAAGCTCAGTCAGGTAGATGGGGTGGCCCCCCCTTTCTAGGTTTTTTTTTAAGTGGGCGGTCCCCCTGGGCCCTGCATGCTGCTTTGGCTCATTGTAACAGCCTTCTGAGGATAGCCATGGTCTTCTTCCTTTATCCCTTAAGCTCAGTCAGGTAGATGGGGTGGCCCCCCCTTTCTAGGTTTTTTTTTTAAGTGGGCGGTCCCCCTGGGCCCTGCATGCTGCTTTGGCTCATTGTAACAGCCTTCTGAGGATAGCTGTGTTCTTAGCTTGGTTAATGGGATGTCCCTCCTGAACGGCTGGGTTCCCCATTTTTCCGAGTTATGTGGTTTGCACCCTTTCTGAGGGAAGGTTCGGTATATGTCTATCGCTTCCCTTATTGCTCTCTCACCAGGTGAACAGGCATGCGCCGTTGCATGGCTGAGAGGACATTATGTTCCCCAAAGTGTCTGCTAGAACATGGAGCACGAGCTCCCTAGAAGGGGAACGTCGAGGTTCCCCAAGAGGGAACGAGACACTGCATCCCCTCGCCATGCCTAGGGCTTGCCTGTTTTCACATCTCCTTAGGACAACTAAGTTGGTGATGTGTTTGGCAGGTGCCCTCTTATACTTCAGACACCTGTCCTGCTGTTGGCAGTCCTCAAAGTGTCTGCTAGAGCAGTGTTTCCCAACCTTTTTTTAGTCGCGGCACCCTTTGGAAATTTTAACAAACTTGTGGCACCCTACAAATAATATATGTATATTATATATACTATTTGTATTACTTATAGTACAATATGTCACAATAGAACTGTTTTATTGTATTTTAATCCAATAAACGCACCCTTAAGAGACTTCTTTTAAAAAAAACAAAACATCAACAACAAAAAACCTAACCAGCCCCAAACTTTTGAGTGGTACTTGATCTTTTATGTAATCCACTAATTTCAGTTTTCAATGTTTAGCAATTTAAAGATAGATACTATTTTGCTAAACAATCAGAAGAAGAAGATACCATTACAGCAGTTGGTATTTGCATTATTTAATTACATGAGTAAAATGTGTGGGCATTCTGCCAAAGAAATGCTGTTCCTGGCAGTGGAATATCATGTAGGTCTGTTTAATTTTAAAATAAGTCTTTCTTTTTAACAAGGTGATTGCTCAAACCAGACTGACCTGTTTCAGAGTGGATTGTTTTGTAAACCTGTGATGCAGGCTTTGCAAAGAGGTATGTAAGATGACTCCTGTAAGCTGTAATGTTAACTCACAGAGTACTAGACAGACACAGGAATGCCCTGAGCCCAGCTATACAGCCTTTGCTGTGACCCTTTTGATGAGTGCTTGTGCTTCAGTAATGACCTGTTGGAAGCGTATGTCCAGATCAAAGGTAATTGGCTCTCTGGGGTGGCACACAGGACGGAAGCTGTATTCAATACCGGGAGGAGCTGTGCAGGGAACCAGTTTTACCGTGTAAGTTCCTGAGTAATCCCTCACCTGCAGGAAAGTCAACACTTACTGAATCAGAAGAGACAGTAAAGGGACCCAATAATGACAAATCCAATCATGAACATATAGTATTCAGAGCAGATTTTGCTTTGAACAAAGAAAAATCGCACCGTCAGACACCCTAAAGACTTACAGCAAAGTCAGAGATGATGGTCCACTGCTGCATTGGCTGGTTGTATGTCGGCTCACTTCTCACCAAGCTAAGGTTAAAGGTCAGCCCGGGATGGTCCGCACACATGACCATGGAAGTCATGGGGGAGGCTGTGTTGACACAAATGTTATTATTCTTTTTGAAGACAAGTAAGACCACAATACACTGTCTCCTCATAACGGATTTCAGAAAATTGCTTAAAATGGGCAAATTTCACAAGAAAATGTTTCAATCCAAAATCAAAAGAAAAAAATATATATTTTTAAATAATTTATAACACGTAACATTGTAAAGCCCAATGGGTTTTTCATTTAGGAAACAGATTACCTCAATTTGTTTAAGTTTAGCAACCAATAGTTATGAGCAGTGTTGAGGGTAACGCATTACAAGTAACGCGAGTTACGTAATCAGATTACTTTTTTCAAGTAACTAGTAAAGTAACGCATTACT